TTAGCAAAGTTTGGGTAAAAGGAGTCAAAATCTTTCCAAGCTTTTGCATCTGCTGGATGTCGTAAATTCCCGTCCTTGACTCTTTCCTCCTCATGCCACCTCATATACTGAGCCGTTTCAGCACACATATACAACCTTTGCAGTCTAGGCTTTAAAGGAAAATGCCAAACAACTTTTGCTGGAACACGGCGAAAATGTTGAGAATTAGTCTCATTAATCTCATCTTGATTTTCTTCTTCTTTCCACCTCGGCGCATGACAAACATGACAAGATGTAGAACTTTTATGATCTTTCCAGAAAAGCATGCAATCATTCCGGCATGCATCAATCTTCTGATAATCAAGACCTAAATCCTTCACCATTTTCTTAGCTTCACTGAAAGATTTAGGTAATATGGCTTCTGGAATTAATTCTTGAATTATCTCAAGAAGATTAGAAAAGGCCGTATTACTTAGCCCGTGGACACACTTAAAAAGGTACAACCGAATGATGAATGATAACTTGGAAAATGATTTGCATCCGGGATATACCGCTTGTTTTCCATCTTCAACTAGCTTAAAGAACTTTTTAGCCTCCATGTTGGCATGTGCCTCCATTCCTGCTTGGAAGTGTTCTTCATGGGAGTCGGAAAACTTATCTGCAATATCCCGATGTGTATCATATATTAAGCCTTCGATGTCATCATGTGCAGAGTCTCGCTTTTCATTTTGGGAAGAGTGGCTCTTTTCATGGAAATGCCGTTCTTTACTGCTTGGATCAATGCCAATGCAAATAAGGTGATTATAAACTTCATCTCTACGATGCCAGAAACGACCATAGCAATCTTTACACGGACAACTAATTTGATCTCCCTTTGCTCGAGTAGAAAATGCATGATTTAGAAAATCCTCCACTCCTTGTTCATACTCATTACTTGCCCGTGCATAGTGGATCCAATTGTCGACTCCATTACCCATTATTCGACCTCCATAAAAATTGGAACATGCGAAAAATTAGGAGATACATAGTACGATGTATGGCTATGGGATGACCCACCTAAATTAAAAAGTGAAAATATAATACTATGTAAGAATTTATATTTAGCTAAATGATAAAAAAAGTTTCAACATACGAGACATGAGATAAAGAACAAAAACCTTAAACGCATAAAGAGTCTAGAAAGTAGTTGTAGCATCCATATGAAATTGTTCCTAGTGTTATTTTTCTTGTCTTTTTAGCTTAATGTTGTAAGTTTGATTTGCAAAGCTTTTGTAAATTACAGTTTCAAAATAAAACAAACAAAATTTTAAAAGAAAATAAGAACACTCTACTCATTTTACTCAACATATATGTGGTACATGATGAAATGCTCTTTCACTTAACAATATAAGTTTCCTAAGAGTAAATAGAGGTTTCAGTAGAAAAAAAGTTATTATATCGCAACTATATTCAATAATATAGTAGTTATGTGGCACGACTTGCATAGGAAAAACATATAGCTTGGATTAAGTAACTAGCATTGCGATATAGGTATGTCATTCGCTTGAATCGAGCAGCAAGAAAGTGGATCAAAGCCATTTTCGAATAAATTGATAAATGCATTTGTGGTGATTACATAATGCATCAAACTTCTACAATAGCAAATAAATTTGAAAAACTCAGCTACATATTAATGGAAAAGCAAAAGGCGCCTTTATTTTATAAAACGACTTCATTTTGTCCAGTAGGATGTTTAGATAAATTTTTTTACCGATATTTGGCAGTCTAGTTCGTATTTTACAAAACTGATAAAATGCTAAAATAAATACTCGCAAATGCTAATGAGCTATAATTGTAGAACTAATTCCATATTAAAAAAATATAAGAGTCACATAAAGGGAATAAGTTGTACCTATGACGACGAGTGACGGAATATGACCAATCAATGTCCGAAAAGAATCCATTTTAAAATGTACTCGAGCTTTGTATTAGCCTTTTATTGTATTTGCATTCAATTTTGAAAACATATTCAACAAGTACGACCAAACGTTCCCAGATAAGCCTACAATCAGAGAACTGTATAGGTATGTCATTCGCTTGAATCGAGCAGCAAGAAAGTGGATCAAAGCCATTTTCGAATAAATTGATAAATGCATTTGTGGTGATTACATAATGCATCAAACTTCTACAATAGCAAATAAATTTGAAAAACTCAGCTACATATTAATGGAAAAGCAAAAGGCGCCTTTATTTTATAAAACGGCTTCATTTTGTCCAGTAGGATGTTTAGATAAATTTTTTTACCGATATTTGGCAGTCTAGTTCGTATTTTACAAAACTGATAAAATGCTAAAATAAATACTCGCAAATGCTAATGAGCTATAATTGTAGAACTAATTCCATATTAAAAAAATATAAGAGTCACATAAAGGGAATAAGTTGTACCTATGACGACGAGTGACGGAATATGACCAATCAATGTCCGAAAAGAATCCATTTTAAAATGTACTCGAGCTTTGTATTAGCCTTTTATTGTATTTGCATTCAATTTTGAAAACATATTCAACAAGTACGACCAAACGTTCCCAGATAAGCCTACAATCAGAGAACTGTATAGGTATGTCATTCGCTTGAATCGAGCAGCAAGAAAGTGGATCAAAGCCATTTTCGAATAAATTGATAAATGCATTTGTGGTGATTACATAATGCATCAAACTTCTACAATAGCAAATAAATTTGAAAAACTCAGCTACATATTAATGGAAAAGCAAAAGGCGCCTTTATTTTATAAAACGGCTTCATTTTGTCCAGTAGGATGTTTAGATAAATTTTTTTACCGATATTTGGCAGTCTAGTTCGTATTTTACAAAACTGATAAAATGCTAAAATAAATACTCGCAAATGCTAATGAGCTATAATTGTAGAACTAATTCCATATTAAAAAAATATAAGAGTCACATAAAGGGAATAAGTTGTACCTATGACGACGAGTGACGGAATATGACCAATCAATGTCCNTGAAGTGTTACATTTTAAAAAATGTTATATACAAGTGCTACATATTCATAAAATGCTACAAGAGTGTTACCTAAATATTGCATTGTATAATATGCTACAAATACATGTTACATAAAATCCCTAATCTAAAATATGTTACAACTTCTTGTTACTTAATGTCACTTTTTTTGTAGTGAAACTATGCTTTAGTTACCAAGTTGTTAGTTGTTAGTGTATTCATTTCTGTTAGAACTACCAGCAGCACTATGAGTTTAGAACCACCTAAATTTATACCTTACAAGGAAAGGTTCTAAATACAATTGGGTGTTACCCAAAAATAGTATTGGTGCACTATTGTGAAATCTCAACTAGAAGATACATTTTGTTCCCAATCCACAATTACTTGGCAAAAATCATACTTTTAGTCTTTTAGGCATGCCTTCATCACTAAATTAACATCATTATTTTAGTAAATGACTCACTTGGGTTATTCACTTATTCATCAAGATTTCTCATACATATATGAAGAAAATTAAAATTATGGTTGGTGTATATCATATATGAGTCTTGGATAACAATTTTTGGCCTTTTTATGATCCTAAATTTGACTTAATTGTGAAGTTGTGATTAATAAGTTATGTTACAACTTATATAGAATCTCAATTAGATCATTATAGAATGGATGACTTCGGTGCCCACAAATTCTGGAAGTTCTATGGATAAAGACATAAATTAAATAGTAAATACATCACAATTTTACTTGTCAAAAGGGTTATATAACGGTAGCTTCTAAAGAGCTACTGAACATGATTTTGGTAACTTAGTGTGGATTTTAAATAATGCCTTGGCTCCATGCTGAAGTTCACGTGAATCCCAAATTCTTTTTCATTATTATTCTTATCCAAATTTTAGCAGCTAAAAAGCTTATAGATTTGATAAAAATGAGGGGTCTAAACTCTAAAATGCTATTTTGAATTTAATAGGGGCTATACTCTCTAGAATCTCATAATAGTAATTAATTGTTTTTGCTTTTAATTTTTTGTAATACTTCCTGTGTGCTGCATATTTCTGTTTCTACTTAGTTGCAAGCCAAAGAATGTAATAGAAACCAATATTTAGTATTATTTTTTCTATAATTTAAAATACTTGCAATAAGTCAAGTCAAATATATAAAGAGAGGAGCAAACTATTTCTGTTGAAGAAATAAGAGGCAAACGGTTTATGTAAGGTCTGACATTCTTTGAGAAATGGCGGTAGAATTTTAAATTTATATGTTACACTTTAAAAAAAACACGATACACAAAAGAACGATATTTTATAATATTATATATAAATATATATACATTTTATTATAAAAAAAATATGACGAACCAATCATTTAATCGTTTGGCCATCTCATCTCATGCAAAAAATGTAAAAGAATATGACGAATCAACCATCTAACTGTTTGGCCATCTCATCTCATGCAAGAATCGAAGATTTGACAAACATTAAAATACTACCATTATCTAGTACATTTTGACATTGCCATATGTGATGATATGTATTAAAGTTGTATACATTTACTATGCTAAAGTCCACATTTGACATAACAAGAGCACCTTTTGATTTTTTCTTTTTTCTTAATTGTGATTTGGAAGTTTGGAACCATCTTTACATCCTTTTAATCACTTCTTGTAATGATTATGTGAGAGCCCTTGTTGAAGTAAAGCCAAACAAAAGCAATATATTCCACTTTGTAACAGACTAAAATATAAGCAAAAAAAACTCAGCATTTTCTTCTGTGTCTCCTCCGGGACTCTTTGCATATCATTCATTGTCCATAAAAACCATCTAAATCTCTGTCTCTCTCGCTCTCTCACACACACAGGCAGTACACACACATAATTCTTGCACTTCATTGCTTGAGCTAAAATGTTTGAATAATTATTGCAAGCGCACTCCAATTTTTTATTTCTTTTTTCTTTCATCATTAATATTTTCAACAAAGTCTTTAACCCAAAAACAGAACCGAACATGTTTGGAGCTGAAACTGTAATAGCCTCATGGATAGGGTTCAGTTCTCGTTTTGGGTCTCCAAATCTGTCAGATTCTTGATAAACAAAGCCAAAGAACAACACAACAGTGCAAGCATTTACAACAAAAGACATCATTTTGATGAGCTAATGCTGTTCAACAACTCTGTTTATTGCGCCTCGCCTAATTTCCAGGAGGCCCAGATGGCGGCGGCGGTGGAGAACGGCGGCGAGGTGTCCGGCGAGGGTAAAGATGGGATTTTTCGTGAAAGTGAGGGTAAATTTGGAAATGTTGCTGCTTGTTCGGGTGAAGAGGAAGAAGAGAGTGGAGAAAGCAGCTTGAGCTCTGATTTTCTGGCTACTGAGAGTAATTTGAATTGCGAGGTTGAAAATAGCAGCTCTGAGGGCTCTTCCTCTTCACCCCCTTCAATGGCCTGTTGGGCAATGGGGAAAGAGAAATTGCCCTTTTGTGATAATTCCGAGGTTTGTGAGGAGATTGAGGAGCAACATTTGGACAAGAGGAGATTAGACAAGCAAAGCTCGAGTCTTTCAGGTAAAAAGATCTGTTCTTTGATAGTGTTTTGTGATTTATTTGCAGGTGGCCTGTGAAAATTGTCAAAATCAACACTTGTTTTGAGTTTTTCATGTCAATGGGTGAAAAATATTAAGTTTTTGGCTTGTGGGCTAGCCTCAAAACACATTATTTGGGGGCAAAGTGAAAATTAACCATTTTTGCATGTCATGGGGGTGATGACTGATAAATATCAAGTTTTTGTTTGGTGGGCAAGCCTCAAAAGGCAGTATATTGTTTGTGGAGGCAAATTGAAATTAACCATTTTTATTTTGTTTTGAAAAAAAAAAAATAGAAATTGAGATGATGAAAGAAAGATTTTCGAAGTTGCTGCTAGGCGAGGACATGTCCGGTTCAGGCAATGGTGTTTCGACTGCTTTAGCTCTGTCTAATGCAATCACCAATCTTTGTGGTGAGTAAGTTTGAATAGTTATTGAAGTTTTTCTTCTTTTTTTTTTTGGTTGATTTTCTGATTCTTGTTCATTGTGCTTTATATTCCATTAGCTACACTCTTTGGACAGATTTGGAGGTTAGAGCCTCTGCAGCCCCAAAAGAAATTAATGTGGCGTCGAGAGATGGATTTGCTTCTGTGTGTTAGTGATCACATTGTCGAGTTAATTCCCTCTTGGCAAACATTTCCCGATGGGAGCAAATTAGAGGTGAAATGAAATTTATTTCTCAATGTAGCTTATGAGACATTCGGCCGAAAAGTTTATTGGAATCATAGTTAGAAATGTTTTCTTATCTAAAATGTGCTTTCATTAGTTAGCTTGAGTTCAAAATTCAAATTTCATTCGAGTTTTCTTGATTCAGGTCATGACTTCAAGGCCTCGATCGGATTTGTATGTAAATCTACCTGCATTGCGAAAACTAGACAATATGTTACTCGTAAGATTCTAAATTTCAATTTCCAATTCACTTCGGCTATATATTTTTTCTCTGTCTTAATC